AATCTTTAATTTATACAGTCAAATGTGCAATGCTGTTTTACATTTCATTACTTTATTCAATTTCTGTACCTAAAAACTAATGGTAGATGATGTTAATGTTAAAAAAAATGAAAATCACTGTTTATTTTATTTGTATCTTTACTCTATTGTATGTATTTGTGCTGTTGCTTGTAGTTAGATAATTACCGAACCATACCGAAACCGTGACTCTAAAACCGCGATACAAACTGAACCGTGAGTAAGTTGAACCGTTCCACCCCTAATATATATATATATATATATATAAATAAAATCTATATTTGTCCATTAAATTTTGCAGTTTTTGTATTGTGTGTCTTAGTTGTGTTTTTACCTGGAGAATGGCAACTTCATTACGCAGTTGACTTTCCTGCTTGGTGGGAAATCGCAGCTTATCTATGATCTTGATGGCAACATCCCTGCCTGTTTTCCTATGTTTCCCTGCGTTATATCAGAAAGGATGATCTATATTGTGGTGTGCATTTTTTCATTAATGTATGTGAAGTATGGTTATATTTAAATGTGTATTTACTGTAAATATTACAATGTTTACCCTCATTACACACTCATTTTACTACATACAATTTGTAAAAAATAAATAAATAAAAAAAGCTCTATATTTAAATATCAAAATATTTAAAAATTTTTATTTACATATTAAAACTAGTGGTCAAACAATTAATCGCGATTAATCGCGTCCAAAATAAAAGTGTTTGTTTATGTAATATATGTGTGTGTACTGTGTATATTTATTATGTAAATATAAATACACACACATGCACGTATATATTTAAGAGAAATGTGTTATGTTTATATACTAAATATATTTATATATAATATAAATTATATGAATATAAATATACATGTAAATACAGGTAAATATTTTCAAAATATATACTGTATACGTACGTATGTGTGGTTTTATATATACATAATAAATATACACAGTACACACACATATATTGTGTAAACAAAACCTTTTATTTTGGATGTGATTAATCGCGATTAATCGTTTGACAGCACTAATTAAAATATTAATTATAGTACATTTTAATACTGAGTATATTAAGTATAGTAAATGTAAATATTTAAAATACAGTAAAATACACATTTTATTTTCTTTTAATACACAGATTCCAGAACATTTCCTCACCGGGTGCTCATGTCAGAGAACTCCCTGTAAATAGACTGGTACATTACCTCCATAGACAATGCCAAATTGCCCAGAGCCAAGTACTTCATCAGGGAAAATCTGATACACTGTGCTAATATCCTGTAAGAAAAACAGAAACAAAATGTAAGCGTATGTGCCAAAATAGGCTGTTCCCAAAGCTCAGAAGCACTGCTTGATACATCAGATTTCTTCTGATCTAGTCTTTCTTTATTTTGTACTGTAACAATGGCTGAATTCAGACCAGTAGCCTAAAGAGCTATTTCCACATCTCACTAGGACTGTCAGAAAGACTCGAGTAACCATGGCAACCTCATGGCCGAGCAGGTAATCAAAATAATCTCCAGTAGAGGCATTGTGTTTATATCACACTGGAACTCAAGGTTGCAGGTATAGGCAAGCCGACGGGAACATTGAGCTCTTGCACATGTATTTGGACACAAAGCACGATGCAGAAAGAATATGAGATATATGTGTCTCAAATTTAAGAAAAAGCTTACCACATTCTCCTGGATCTGGCAGTTGGATACAGAGATGCTAATGGAGACCTCTTCTGTAGGTATAAAAACAAACAAACGAACAAACTCATTATGTCTCTTTTGTATTGAATGCCATATCCTCAGATTTACACCTTTACTAATTTAATTTACCAGAACAAGAAATACGTGACAATACATATCACATTACAAGATTTTCTCAAAATCATCTCAAAGAAAATTTAAAACCAGATTAACAATTTAACCTGCACAATACTGCACTGAGGTGGCCCACCAGTGTTAAATAAAACATACCACATATAATATAATATAGATATAAGTATTAGATTTAAAAAAATGCTGCCTTAGCAAATAACTGAAAATATGTTTAAGTTAAAGAACTAGAATTATATCTAAAATAATAAAAATGACAAAAGTATATTGAAAAATTAATGAAATTAATTAAAATTTTAATTTTTAATTTTTTAAAGTCTAATTCAAAATATGATGTAATGCCATATTATATAATACTACAATAACATGTATATATACTACAATAACACACACACATATATATATATATATATTTGCAAATACCTATAAATTATTATATTTTTGTCAAATTCATCGACATTAAGACATTCAAGGTGCTCATTTTCTTATTGAATATAATAAATTGCCATTAATATTGTATTCTCCAAAATGTCTGGATGTGATATATATATATGTGACCCTGGACCACAAAACCAGTCATAAGGGTCAATTTTTCAAAATTCAAATACATCATCTGAACGCTGAATAAATAAGCTTTCCATTGATGTATGGTTTGTTATGATAGGACAATATTTGTCCGAGATACAACTATTTGAAAATCTGGAATCTGAGGGCGCAAAAAAATCAAAATATTGAGAAAATCGCCTTTAAAGTTGTCCAAATTAAGTTCTTAGCAATGCATATTACTAATCAAAAATTAAGTTTTAATATATTTACGGTAGGAAATGTACAAAATATTTCATGGAACATGATCCTTTCTTAATATCATAATGGTTTTTGGCATAAAATAAATAAACTATAATTTTGACCCATAGAGTGTGTTTGGCTATTGCTACAAATATACCCCAGCGACTTAAGACTGGTTTTGTGGTCCAGGGTCACATATATCATTCACAAAAGCCTGTGTCCAAATACTTTCCTACTACAATATGCCAAAAGCAATACATGAAAATATGCAACATGAAACAGTAGGCATAAAATGGCCAAAGTAAAGTAGACACTTTCTAAGAACTGCGGTGCAGTTGATATTGCATGTCTCATGGCAATGCCGGACATAGTATGTACGAATTGAATTCATGCTACACACCTGCATACGCATAGAACGTACTTGAATCATGACCAACAAGGTATTTATCAAATGCAGTACAAATTTGTACACAATGGAACATTTCAACTGCACTGCATTCCTGTATTTGTTGTGTTTTCCCCCCAGAAACATTCTAAGGGTCTTTGCATGAGCCCCTAAATGTTTCACCATGAAGTTCATACTGTGGTAGCTGTGATGGCTGCCGTGAGATATGCCCTTGGCGATGACAGGCATAAGTGCATGCTGGATGGCCATCTCCCACATGCGGGCCACGTCCTGTCCCACACCGCTAACAAGCACGCTGCTTCCGTAGCCCAGCATTCCCCCGTCGGCTCGAGCCAGGTTTTCTCCCACATAGTACACCAGAGATGCTGTGGCAATCTCAAAGCAATGTGGGTTGGCACCCTCAGGCAGAAGGTTGAATGTTTTCGCTGGTTCCAGAGACAGCACCTCGGATAGAGGAATTTCCTGTTGGAGAAGGTTAAGAGGTCTTATCTGAAAGCTGAAACCTCAATGGTATTGCAGAGACATGCGTGTGGATCTGATGTGTGCAGTGATCCATGAAACCTATCAGGACAAACTATCAACATTATCAAAGGAAATGATGAAAACCCTCTAGATACTTCCTAGATTAATTTGTTAATGTGCGTTTCAAGTATCAGACTTTATTTTTTTTTATTTAAGTTACCTTATAGTATTTGCTCCCAGTGTCATTCTGGAACAGGGTAATACACTTGCTGTCAAGTCGCCAGTAATGTCTCTTACGCTAGAGTGAAAAAAAAACAACAACAGTTAAAAGAAATTATCATGTACAGTAAGAAAAGATCACTTTGTAATTCACCTATTAATTCATAAGGTTTATAATGGAAACCCAGAGCACTTACCAACGTGTCTTTACTGGTGAAATGCACAAGCCAGCCTTCTTTCATAACATTGCTGCTTTTCCTCTTGGTGTGTTTGACAGACTGAACCACCCGCATAAGTGGGATGTTGTTGCTGGTGGAAGGGCTTACAAACAAGGTGACATGTCAAAACCTTCTAGAACATGTCAATTGCAGGTCAAAAACTATTTCATGGCATTAGAATACTCATACTGTTTTGTTCCTTTTTTATTTTGTACTTGACCTCAAACAGACAAACATCTACAACATGTTTTAACTCAAATTGTTACCTAGAACACAGCAAGACTAATAGTAAATTCAGTTTTTAATTGTATTTTTCCTGTCTTGGTGTGTATTTTATGTATTTGTCCTTAATATTAAGTATTTTTTATTTTATATAATGTCCCCTATACTATAATAGTAACACTCCCGTTTAAAAGTTTGGGGTCAGGAAAATTGTTTTTATTTAAATGAATACTTTTACATAGCAAGGAAGCATTAAATTGATAAAACGTTGGTAATTGAGTCAATTGATCAAAAGTGACAGTAAAGACATTTAAAATGTTTTAAAATATTTCTATTTCAAATAAATGCTTTTGAAATTTATATTCATCAAAGAATCCTGGAAAAAAAAGGTTTCCACAGAAATATTAACCAGCGCACATTTTTATACATTTTAAATAGTAATAATATTTTACAATATTACAGTTTTTACTGTATTTTCATCAAATAAATGCAGCCTTGGTGAGAATAAGAGACTTCTTTTAAAAACATTAAAAAAAAAAAAAATCTTCCTGACCCCAAACTTTTGAACACTAGTAGTAGAACAGTACTATTTGCAGTGATTTTTTTCTTTATTTTGCATTCAGTAGTTTTTCTATGCGATCACTGACTGAGACAAGTGGGCGATAATATATTTTTGGATGAATGTCAACCAATTGTATTGTTGGTTTTGTTTATAGTGCTTCTAGAGGTGATGAGGAGCTAGCTACCTGATGATTCTGTTGGATTCATCTGTGTCTTGGTCTTGGAAATCTCCAAGCTCACCATGTCCAGCTTCCAAAAGAGCAGCGGAGTCTACCACCAGAGACTCTTCCATGTCATCGATAAGTGGACTATGTCTGTCCCCGTCATGGTCATCACAACCCTCCTCCATGACCATATCTGATTCAGCACCGGGACTCAACAGATCTAAGAGCCATGATAAGAAAAGGATTGGAGCGAAAAGGACCGCAAACCAAGACAAAGTAAGTCACGTGATGTATAATGTGTGTAAAAAAGCTGTCAGTTTAACACCACCAACCATAGAAAGCAGAACATGAAAATGAGCAGTTTCAAATTTCCATTCAGAAAAGTACTGTTAATAATATCATATTATAATATAAATAGGGAATATTGTAACAGAGCAGTTATATCATTATGCTCTTTAGCCTTTGCATCAGATCTTATGCTTACTGTTAATGTACAGAAAGAAATTCAATTTTTATTGCTCTGGTATTGTAACAAGTAATAAATTATTGAGAATATCAATTTGAGCTTAACTATTATAAGTGATATAAATAAACAGATTTAGTCGTACAACATCACCCGTTTTTTCATCTGAGCACATTATGCTACAAATGAAGAATGATGTTCACATGGCGCTTAATGTTTAGTCGAATAAATGTTGTTTTTGTCGTCAAATTGCAGTGTTGATCATTGAATCGCATGGAGACACTAAAGTTAGACTTGCCTCCGTTTCTTGACACCTCTCCGAGGCAGTTGTTTGGCACTTTAGGTGCACATCGTTTATGGCAGTTGAATTTGCAATCTGAGACAGTGTGAGGGAAAAGAGAGTAGAGAAGAATGACAGAGAGAGGGAGAATGAGTTAAAGGGAGGAGTGAGGGAGAGAGTTTACTACCAATCTGGCACATAAACATATGAGTTCCTGTTGTGCTGGTGGCTGACAGGCTGAGACCTCGCACATTGAACACATGAACATTAAAGCTGTTTGGAACAGCCCAGCCAACTGCACTCTTTACTGCTTGGCACATGGCATATATTTCTCTTACACAAACACATCGTATATAAAAAGCAGCTGTTGTGTCACTTTATATTTGTGCTCTATTCTAGATGACACAAAAGGATCAACAAATTCTGTGATCTGTTACACTGATAGTTGCGGTGTTATCAGAACGAAGGATCTGTAAAGCAAGCATCAATACATTGCATATTGGCACCTAATGGACTAAGAATAGACTATGTTTTGAAAAAATAGTATACTATGCATACTATTTTTATAGCGTGTACTATGTACTACTGTGCAGCAGATTTCATTAATGCATGGAATACTACATTTAAGCTACAAGACCATAGCACACCGTGCTAAGTTCTGTCTCCCACAATGCAATGCATTTAATTTGCATTAAACTAGCAAAGGACCCTTTTCAAATTTCCAGGGTTCTCAGAAGCAGGCAGTCATAGGCAGGTTCATTTCTACATGAACAGAAACTACAATTTCAAAACTACAACTACAACCTTGCAAAATAGGAAAAAATATGAAGAGATTGTATTAGAAATGCTCATGCAGCAGCATTAACTAGTTTTCTGTAATTTACTGACAAGGTAATATAACACAAATTATAGTGTTATAAATGTGCAATATATTTTAAAACATTAAAAAAAAAAAACTCTGCTAGATTTACGATGTTAATAACTGTGGAAATGCGACATCAGTCTGTGAAAAGTGTCTATTTCAACCAAGATTTTTAACATATTCATTGCAACTGATTATTTAACCACATTGCCAAAGAAATTTTTTTACACAAAGCTGGATTAAAAATTAATGGAAAGTAACCTATTTATTTACAGCATGCATTAAATTAAACACTGAACATGTGCCAATATTTGCACAGTTATACTGTTTCATATGTTTTTATAAAATTGCAGTAGTATACAATATATTCTGTGCAGTATGCTAGTATTCCATTTTGAACACAGCCCTACTGAGCCTCATTATCTGTCTAACACAGTCCATCATTCATATAATAATAACAAAATATCATATCTGCTGGAGAAATTATAGCGAATATTATATTAAACACATTTGTGTACTTATCGTAATTTGTGTAATTAGTTTAAATGGATATTGTGAATAAACTGCAATGGTTTCTGGATAAAGAAATGATTCACAGCAATTAGTAATCACTCTGCAATGGCGGCTTAGATGAGTTAATGCAGTTTTATTACAGAGAATCAGAATTACACGGAAACATCAGGATCAGAGGGGATTTAGACAAGGCACATTATTATGCGAAGCAATAAGATACTAAAACAATTACTGTATGACAATAAAGCGTAATATTTTCAAGAGGATCATTCTACAACCATGGCTTGAAATATTGAGGATAAGCTCGTACCTTTGCACTGTAGTCCCTGACGGAACAGGCCCTTGAGGAGCTTCTTGCAGTGCTGGCAAACGGTGGGGCGCGTGTAGGAATGAATGACAAATGTGTGTGGCACCTTCACTTTAGACAGCAGGATCTTGTCTAACTCTATTGGCCGACCAATATAGGACTGAGAGTTGGAACGGCCTCTTCCAGGAAAGAAGTCTGATGGTGTTTTTTGCTGTAAACAAATAATGTAGTGTATCGTGATGCATAGGACATCAACACAACACACAAGGGCTATGTCACAGGTTTAACTGTGTTTTCAATACTTTGGTATTTTTAATACATGTCAGGTCAGTGTAAACTGTTGTGTGTTAAATTGGGGCAAGTTGTCACACTGAGAATAATTTAGATAATGTAATTAATTACAATGTTGTTTGTCAAACCAATTGCTCTATATTTTCGTTTACTTCCTTTTAGGTATTTGCTGAAAAGCTTAATAAACAGGTTGTTTAATGGCAGGTTCCATTGTGACAACTTACCCCCATATAGTGTGACAACTGGGGCATGTTGTCACAAAACAACTATCTAGCTATCTATCTATCTATCTATCTCTCTCTCTCTATATATACTGTATATATACACAAAACCAACTATATATTTTTTTCCTGAGCAATAGAAGTTTTATTGTTCAATAGATTTTAGCCAAGACTTTAAGGTATGTATTTATACAGAAATGGTCTTCCAAAAATAAACCCACCCTGAGAAATATTCACTGGAGTAAAGTGTGTGACAACTAAGCTGTTCGAATTTTTAAAAAGTTTTTGGATGAAACCTGTGACTGTGCTTTTTTTGGCAGTCATTAAATTTTGCAAATGTTAAATAACTATTATCAAAAGCAAATTAAAAGTATTCATTTGTCACACAAGCTCACAGGTACTAACCCGAGCGAAGTCAGCCCTCGATTAGGTGAACAAAAAACACAAGGGCTCTATGAGGTTCATGCTGAGGGAGATTGTTGTATATGCTGAGCTTTGATGAATTTGCATCAACTCAGAACAACAACTTTCTCATCAAGCTGATCTTTAATGTGCTGCTGATTGGCAAAGTTGCAGATGTCTTACCACCTGTAGTGAATAGATCTGACATCACGCAGGTGTGCATAATCAACTATTCAATGTGCTCTAAAGAAGGAAAATGATCAATAGCTTCCTGTTGCCATGTTGTACACTTCACCAAAGGCCTTAAGTAGATTCGCGTGGAAAGTAAGGCATCGTACAGCTCAGTTCAGCTTAAGTACAGATGCAGTTCATTTGCTGTAACCTGTCTAGGTGTAGGGAACAGATTAGAGAGCAGTTAACAGATGTTTGATTCTACCGTCAACAGCCGATTAACAGCTTTCTTCAAACAAACTCTACATGTGTACCACAACATTTCTAGTGTCAGGTTAAAATGTCTTAACCTCTTGATGAAAAGAACTCTATATCTGGCGTAATCAAATTAAGCTTCAAAACAAACGATCAAACACATTTCCTTTTACATTTTGTCATATCGCATAATATCACAAGATGGTTAGTTAAAGCTGAATTAGTTAGTGCCTACCTCCATGCTAGGACTGACAGGAGACTGGGCAGGAATGAAGGGATGTGTGGGGAGAGGTAGAGAGAGACAGACAGACAGAGAATGAGTAGTGTTAATAAACAGGATAAGCATGCAGCACTAGCATAGGGTGAACAAACGGGGACCAAATCTATGAACTGATTATTAGGACAATGTAACTGTTGTATTTGTAAGATTCATATGATTTGTATTTTAGATTCAAACATTTATTCTATGTTGTAACTGAGGAAGAAGGGAGCATTTGATGCAATATGGTCTGGATCTCATTTTGTCATCAGGGCCGGTGAGGGACACGTTAGATAGTCGTCGTTTACGGATGCCGCTGCAGTTGTTTGGGATTTTAAAGGCACACCGTTTGTGGTAGTTCAGCCCGCAGCCTAGCGCAAAGAAAGTGACAAAAGACAATCACATGGTGTTCTGTTTCTACTGCTGACAGAAATGGAATGTTTAGACATTCACCTTCACACTTAAGCCCCTGCCTCACTAAACCCCACAGCATCTCTCCACAGTGATCGCAGAACGCTGGAGCTCGATATGAGTGAACGAACAGGGCATGAGGTCTGATCTGAAAATCCTCCACTGTAGCTGAGGCTGAAAGTTTGAAACAACACACACAAAAGCGAAATGTATATTTCCAAAGCAACTTCCAGCAGACCAAATACAGTGTCTTTCTCCTCAGCGCAACACTGTGTTATGTCCATCAATCTGTGATCAAGTACATTTCCATGTCCCCATCATATAATATGCTGTAATACATTTGTAATAAATTTGGCTGAGAGAAATCAATATTGTACAGTATGTGACTGTAAATAATTCACTACTTTTGTTTTGTAATGGATGTTGTTATTTTTCAACTTTCAGCATGAAAAACTGTGATTTATTTATTTAGAGATGTTCCTGGCCCTGATCAAAATGTTTATAACAAATCATGATACATGGGAAATTTGTTTTCATTGGCATTCATTTCATATGTTTTCCTGTGTCCCCAATTTCACTACTCTTACTCCCTGTTAGCAATTTCTAACATACCTTTAAAAATCCAGTTCCTTAATCACATCCAGAAAGTGAAATCAGCACTTCAGCACATTATACTCTCAGAAAAAAAGTGCAAAGTTGTTTTGTATACAAATACAAAGCTAAAAAGTACATCTTTGTACCTTATTTACCCCTAAATACTGGTACATTAAAGGTACATACAGTATTCATACCTTTTTTTTGAGCTTGTGTAACACAAGATTTCTGTAGCTTGTGTAACAATGGATTTGATGAAGTCTGTGATGTTTTGTGGTATTAGCTGGTTTGCTGCACTTTAAAACATTCCTCCCTTTTTTTAATAAACTTACACAAAATCAAAAGATAGTTAAATAAACTGTATAAAATTAACCAAAGATTAAATTAGGCTGACACCCTCATGTAAGCTAACTCTCAATTCTAATTTTGGCTCTAATTTCCACCCTGTATGGCACCCAGCTAATAAGCAAATAATCACGCTATAATTAATAATGTGTCTGAGCTTGACCACAGCGTATTTCAGTGCTGTACACTTTCATAGAAATATGTCCTTAAATTACAAAACTAGCATTATAATTTTTTACTGAATAAAAAGAATGACCCCTGTGTCGTGCTCTAGAGCACAATAATAGTAGAGTAAATATTATATTAAAAATTAATTATAATTATAACATAATTTGTGTAAAAAGAAATGCTGAAAGAAGCTTGAAAGAGAGGTTTGAGACACATTTAAGTAACATAGTTATTCAAAATAACCATGTCACTTTACCCCCAACAGCATGTGGGCTTTTACTCCAAATACTATCTTTTCACTTATTTTAACAGTTACTGAATAACTGTTTGACATTCAACCAAACTGAAAATCGTGAGTCTTTTGTCTCTTAACATGTGATCGTTTCTCATTAGCTGCGTAAATCTGCAACATTTGATGATCCATGACTCACTTCACTTTAACAACCACAATTATACCTCAAAATGACAACATTAACATTGATCAAATTACCTCAGATTTGATCTTTTTCATTTATTCTCAGCTAACTGTCCTGATACTTGCAATTAACATGATCTGTGCGTTTTATTTGGAGGTGCTTTGATAAAACTGCATCTGCTAAAAACATCAATGTAAATCCTTGGTAATTCATTAAAAGGATATGCAGCACCTGATGAGAGACCTTAAACTCTGAAACATCTGTTATTTGGGCGTAATTGTGGTTGTTCAAGTGAAGTGAGTCATGGATCATCCAAAGCACTTAATTTCCAATTTACAACTTAAAATCATAATTAAAGTTGTTTTCCCATAACAACTCACATAAATAACCACATTTTTTGTTTGCATTATTTGGACTTTCGACTTCATGAGGGAATTTGCTTCGCTCTTAATCCCAGCAGCACTGAGTAAACATGTCATGATTAAAAAGGCAAACAAATGTTGCAAAGGGAGTTATATCTTTCTTTTATGAACCGTCCTCTTTCGAGCTCCCACAAGGCTTGTGTATCTTTGGGGTACAGACGGCTGAGAGGGTGGGCCAAATCCAATCTATCAATGGCCAGTCTGGCACGCCTTTCCCGTCTCCACAGAACTGCCACAAGGCCTGGGCAGCAGGCTCTCTGGCCTTGCCTAATTCTAATCAGATGGGCAGACTGTGTGTTTGTCAGGGTTAATGGGCTAGAGATGGTGGTCCCTTTAGAGGGGCCTGTGGTCAAGCACTAATTAATTAAGGACTCATTGTGAGTGTTCGAGAGCCTTAAAATACAACAAAGAAGCCGATTAAGAGCTGCATGACATCTCTGTACCATATATTTCATGCCTCTAAAAAATAATACTCCATGCAGCACAGCAAAATCTTACAAAACAGAACGAAATCCAGAGATATGACGAATTTTAATTGCTATCCAAACTCTTCCAAACAAACCCAGCTTTATTTATATTTGCAAATTGTACTATGAAAGGGAAGCTTTTGGGGTGGTTGGAGTGTTTTGATTGGCTCTTGTTGGCTGCATGTTGACAGGACCAATAGCGGCTGAGTGGCGAGCGCAGCGGGAGAACTGCCTGCCTCAACACGCGCATGTTGCCTCCTCTCCAACATGGCTTCCCCTAGTACGCTCAATACATTCTGATTAGCCATTCTGCAGCTAAATTACCTCAATTCATTCAAATTATTGTTTTGCCTTTTGTTTAAAGGCCAAGATATGTTTGCAAGTTGAACTACCTGTAAACTGTCATTAAATGCTTCAGGGAAATGAGTATGATGCTGAAAAGGCATCCTGAGTTGACTTAATGCAAATACTTGTTTCTCCCGTCATTTTTTTTCTTTGCTGCCAGTGGAAATTAGAAGTTTTCTGGCCCGACACACTCTGGCCTGCGAGACAGTAAAGGCAAATCACTAAAGTTTATGCATACCTCTTAATCAATATTCACGTCTGGTTATTAATCCCACATGTTCTGTATGGCGCTTGTATCTTCATGCATTTTCTCGGTTGCAATTATGTTGATCTAGGCACAGCCAAACATCCTGTCAGCGCGCTTCAGTGAAGCCAACCCATGGTTACTCTAAATTTATCCAGCAGAAAATAGACTTCAAGCAGACTTTAAGGACCGCAACAGACTGGGTAGAGACCCAGCAGAGAAAGCGTAGGTCATATTTTCATGAAATGCTGCTCTTTTTAATTGCTGCAGGAGATACTGTCAAAGTGATAATCCGAGAGATCAGCATTTATTGGCCCGCTCGTTGCGCCTTTTTTCAGATTCAGGCCAATTACAAAGCATACAACTTTTGCTTTGAAAACCATATGGTGAGCAAAACCAGATTTAATGCTATCGAAGAATTAATTTAGGCTTTAAAAGTGCTGTAAAATAATACGTTTACTTAATTAGTAAAGGAAAACTACGAGCTGGACCATTGATTTACTTTTGCGTCAGTAAACTGTGAAATTATACCCTTCGCGAAAAGTGACGTGACAGTCACACGGGGTCTCTCAGGGGGTGTCATAATTAATAACCGTTGACCTTACTTTTGTGACAGTTGTAAAACTCTTCTGTGTTACTTTACAGTGAAAGCAGCTGTCAAGTGTGTCATTGAGAAGTGTTACTCCAGGCTCCCAAAGGCTCGAATGTGTGCATCTGGGTGTGTTAATCACCTGATTCATCCTGTCACAGACACGCGCATGTACAGAGAAACACACCAGACCTGGTAGAGAGGCTGGGGGGTAGAGGAGGTGTCAGTCCCCGCTTTATCTCGTCAGAATAGACTTCACTCAATTACCTGACATAGCACAGGGAGGAGAGGGGGAGGAAGGGAGGGGAAGGCCTGCCAAGCGTTTGTAGAAACACTTTAGCAGTGTCAAATGCGATACCTCCATCGCTTCCTCAGCAAAGCAACTCCGGTTTTCACACCGGGTGCAGCATCAAAACTTGGATGCGCATCAACTTTTCCAGAGTGGGAAATGGAGGGACTAAGAGACAGTCAGAAAAACAGTCAGAAATGGCACAGGAATCGCACTCGGGTGTGTGGCAGACTGCAGAAACTTTGGCGGGTATTGCAGCAAAGTCACAGTGTCTTGTCTAACTGATCTATAAAACAATGTGTCATGCCACAAATGAGAAGATGATGGATGTACATCTGCGCCTAGGGGCATGACTACATGCTGAGCAAGAACTATTGAACGTGCCACTTACCTGACAGGACGACTTCCACTAGGTCCCCTTCCATAATTTCAGCCGCGCACCTCACCAACTGTAGGATGTTCTCCGAGTTCGGATCATGACGGAAAAGAAGAATCTTGTCATACATCCCATAGAAGCCACATTCTGGGAACTGTGATGGAAGAAAAATGATGTCTGTCAGGTGTTTTTACAGAGTAAAGGCTATATTGAGTGGGTGGTGTGTATTTTATGATGGTTCTATATACTGATGCCAGACATATAATGCGTCTAAAAGTCCTGCCCACATATTAAAATTACAGACAACATTTCTCATACCTGAAGCTTTTCATTCAGCTACTAAAAGTACTCAGAAACCACATTATGATGCTCATGGGACAAACCTGACTGACAAAGACTGATTTATAGCGTTAAATGCTTTTCCTTTTTTCCTTTTTTCGCTCTTTTTGACTGCTCCTAAACAGTTTTACGAACAGCAGCCTCACAATCAATTCAATGTCAAAAGAAGAGAGCAACATATTGACTGACCCATGTAGACCGCTGGGGAAATGGCTCACTAGCCTCATTCCCTATTGATCCCTGCTGGGTTGAGTTGCAGCAACACTGCAGAGAAGGCCTGCATGTAATGGCAATTCAAACCTACACAATTCACAAAGGGTACTCACATCTAAGCTATTTGGCTTTTATTACACCACAAACAAAAATATCACAAATAAAAACTACTCTGGCTGTCACAATGAACTTGTATATGGACTTTGCATTTACACTGACATGAATCTGTAAGTTCATACATGCAAAATATACTGGTATATCAG